TAAAGGAAGGTCCGCAGACACGTGTATATCCGTGCACGTGTGTGTGGCAGGTAGATCCGGAAAACTGCAGGTTGCCATGACAGATTCAGGACGGCAGGAGGCGAGTTTCTTTTGTCACCTGTGTCAATTCGCAGGAAGTTGTAGCTGGCCGAAACTGGTTTCTGTCACGTCAATCTTATTGGAAAAGGGACACCTGTTGTGGCGATTCTTTGGAGATCGGCGCTCAAATCAAATTTGCGGTGACGCAGACATAAAGCTGTACGTACCGGCTACATCCGGACAAGTCATTTGAGTCATCCAGTGACGCTCGTATCTCACTTTCAATGGCATACTCACTCATCACGAGGGTCAGCGACCTTTGCTGGATATTTGATTAAAGAATCGCCGTCAGCGTTAGGCCTGGTTTTGACAGTATCAACACTTTTCTACATCAATCTATCATACTCAATTCGAGGGGATTCATTCCTCAAGCTAACCGACATCTTGCACACACAGTCGTCCCTCAGTAAGACATCTGGAGCCGCATAGTTCCCGTTTAGAACTTTTATTCAGCCTGTCACACAACAACAACAACAACAACAACAACAACTACATCAATCTATTATACTCTATAATCAGACTGTAAAATGTTGCATAAATGTTACCTGAGACGCACAGGTTATATGTGTTGATTCATAAATATCAACGGCAGTCATGCTACCTTGAAAAAGGGAAAATAAGAAATTGTGAAGAAATGAAAATGAAGAATCTACTATTCGCCACACCGTATACTCTGTGTCTTTAGTCATTCGTTCAACTTTCATGACCACGTAAATTTCATAATGAAGGCAACTTTTTTGCCATTTTTTTAATTATCAGTTTTAGGGTTCCTAGAGGATGTTCTCCTAATAACCAAATAAAAAACTCCACATGGACTTATATTTTGGCATTTTTAAAATGGGTCAGGCAGCAAGACTAATTAGAATAAAATTCTATACGTAACAGTTAGAAATCTTTTTTTCATGGATCCTCATTAATTAAATAGCTAGCTAACCAATTAGCAATAGTTCCAACTTCAGAGAATACTGTGCTTTTTTTCTGGGCACTTATTAGAACATATAGAATGAATAGGCCATCATTTGCTTTATATTGCCTATTTTGAGTAGCAGGTATGTGCGTCAGATCTTTTCTTCTCAAGGACCATATTACACGACGTACTATAGGTTAAGCAATATACTTGTGTGTATCCGGCAAGTACGAGAAAGGTACGAACACCAGATAATTGGCCCCATTTCTTTACCATATCGTTAGTTTTCTGGATCTTTCCACGTGCATGCGTGACTTGTGTGGCTGCAATCGTATTTTATTTCAAAAGAAGCTTGTCAAATCTTTTGGCATGTTCAACATAAATAAAATACAAGATTTTAGAACCACCCTTCAGCATAACACACCAGCTTCACAGGCACGAGGCACGGCGACACCTAGCTATATTAGGCCATGTTGATTTGATTATATGGATGACATCCTCTGGGAACCCCAAAACTGATGCGAGCGTGCGAATAAAAAAAAAGTTTGGCTAAAAAAAAAAGTTGTTTTCATTATGAAATCTACGTGGTCATGAAGGACACATAGCGAATAATCTACTCTTCAAATTCATTTCTTTACATTTTTGTCTTTTTCGTCTGATTTTGGCATTCTACGACATTGGTACCGTTTTTGAATATTCTTTTTTTGCAACGTACGGTTTATATTTGCTCATTTTGCGGCTGTTTTGTACGATTTACAGTATGGTTGAAAACTTTTTTTTTTTGGAAACGGCCAAAAATTCATGCGCGCGTGGATGTCATCCATATAATCAAATCAACATGGCCTTATACCGAACGACTTGTTACACACAATCTTTGCACTGCTGACTGCAGGGGTTGTTCAAAGCTATCTAGTGATGATGCCCTAACTGTACTCGGTGGCATCGTAGAGTTCCACCCTAGGATGGTTCTTGGAAAAGACGAGGTTTTGCACACCTCAATCATTGGTAGATAACTCTGATGGCATTGATGGCATGACTATGTCAAGTTTTTTTTTTCCTGCGCTGGCCTTAGGTATTTAGTAGTCGGTTCATTCACCAGTTCATTGATTTTATCCTGTCTTCAAGCGACATCCATTGTAGGTTTGTTTTAATTTCAGTGACACTAGCACTCCTTTCATAGTTTCATTCATGGCTAAGTTTGCTTGATAGTTCTAGCACGTACATTAGGGCAAAGTCATAATATGTTTAGTTGTGATTTTTTGGATGTACGTGTAGGTACTGGCAGTGTCTTGCGATCGATCTGCACAGCACTGCCACCTAGTGACGTTTGCGAATATTGAACCGACAGCCAGAAAGACGGGCAGACATGATGTCCTTGTGCAGAGGCACTACCCCACCCCCAAGGAGCACGCAGACGTGATCGTTCGTTCGTTCGTTCGTGAGAGTGAGAGTGAGTGAGTGAGAGTGAGTGAGAGAGAGAGTGAGAGAGAGAGTGAGAGTGAGAGAGAGTGAGTGAGAGTGAGTGAGTGAGTGAGTGAGTGAGTGAGTGAGTGAGTGAGTGAGTGAGTGAGTGAGTGAGTGAGTGAGTGTTCAGAGCATGTGCTTTTGACTTTAGTCTTTCGGCTTGTGTTCCTGAGGCCAAATTCATGAATGTGTGACAGAGACTTTACCATTACGTCCTCCGTGCGGTGTAGAGTAGTAGTACAGTTCAGTACACTGCTGTCTAGCCAGCTGACAGTAGCCAAAAGTCGGTAAGAAAATGAAATGCAACTGTGTAAAAACAAGAGCAGCACAAATGTACTTCCATGGCACATTGAAAAATTTATTAAAATCGACTCTGATATCGTATACATTTCCAATTAGTCAGACCTAATGTATTTTATTTTATCATAATCACACCTTATACAAACATATTGCAGGACTACGTTCTGAGAGGTCTAAAGACGACCATATATATCAGGGCAATATATCAGGGCACTCCTGCCATCACTAAACAGAGACGGTGGACGATATACACTTCTATGGCACGTTTGATCAATTGCTGACGTCACGTATCTTATCAGTAAAGTCTCGTGTGACTAAGGTCACGTGTCTGAAACTCTCGCGAGTTTACGTTCGGAACTGACTGGACATTAATTATCCTGATGAAGGCGACAGTGGTCATTCAACATTTAGTCCCTGTATCCTTGTGTTGGAATAAAGTTTAGCATCGTTCTGTAATTACTACCAACACAAATGAACTTCCGTGATAATTACACTGACCCGTAGGTAATGGCACTGTTTCTACTTCAATATTTATTACCTCAATAGATGCCTCCATTGTTCTAATCTGTGCAACTCTGTCATATAAATGTGCATTCCTGGATATATAAATATGTATCAATGATTGCTTAGTCCAAACTATTTTATGTTTTTACCTTTTAATGTGTAGTATGGAAATTGCTAAGATGTGTATCATTTTTCTGTGATGTTTCCGTATACGTTTAGGTCATGTTGATTTTATTATATGAATGACATCCTCTGGGAACCCCAAAACTGATGGGAGCGCGCAAATAATAAAGTTTGGCAGAAAAATTTCCTTCATTATAAAATCAACGTGGTCATAAAGGTTGAACAAATGACTAAACACACAGAGTATGGTAGGGCGAATAATAGACTCTTCATTTTCATTTCTTTACATTTTCTCTTTTTCCTGTGGAATTGATTTTGGCATTCGACGATATTAGTATCGCTTTCCAAATCTTTTTTTGGCAATTCATGGCATATCTTTGCTCATTTTTTCAGCAGGTTTGTACGATCAAGAACGATCGAAAACTTTTTTTTCTAAACGGACGAAAATCCATGCGCATGTCATCCATGTAATCAAATCAACAAATTTACACAAATTTATTGCAGAACAACGTTGTATCAATCTGATTAGCTATGGAAAAGTACCAAACACTACATTAAAGTATCAATATCAATATTCTTTCAGACTTAATGAGTTGAGTTATGTCAGAGTGGAATGTTGTTTCATCTGTAGAAAGTACAACACATATTAGACAATCACAAATTTCTTGAAAATCCATATTTTCTATAGTCAGACGCATATCTGATCTAGCAACACATTGTATACTAAACACACTGACTGAGGCACTAAAATACTCGATTTTAACTGCAAAGCGCCATCTTACGACTATTTCAAACAACATTTTTCTTGCTTATTCATCAGATTAGAACCACCTTATGACATGTAACAACTTAAACTAAACGACGTCACTTTTTGTCCAACAGAAACATTAATTTTTATCAGAATTCCACAAAATCATGGTATTGGTATGGAAAGTAAATAATTTATTCATTTATTTATTTGTTTGATAGTTTGTTTGAACATTTTCTATTCATGAGAAGCTCAAATCGGGCGCAGACCGCTTTTCATTGAGGTCATGATGGAAAAGGTTAGGGTCATACAAAATATACATGTATAACAAAATACCATTTACATCATTTGAACAGCATCCTATCAAATCTATTCACATTTTTTACACATACAAGGTACAAAATACATAAGGGTGAGAGCTGGTGTGTGTAAATTCGTTAAGGTCATTTCTGATTATTGTTAATTTAAGAGTCTCTAATTTAAGCTAGAGTTTGGGCCATGTGTGTGTCTAGTGTTAGACTGTTCAAGACATTTTATATACGGTCACATCCTGGTTAGTGCATTACCTTCTGTCGTTAGCAACAAAGACATGTGCTACTCTCTATATATGGGCGTATTTTTGCCTTATATTAAGGATTAGAACTTCATCAATCTGACGTCACATATCTGTAAAGTGTCGTGTGACTGAGGTCACGTGTCTGAAACCGTAACTCTCGCGAGTTTACGTTCGGAAGTGATTGGTCATTAATTATCCAGATGAAGGCGACAGTGGTCGTTAAAAATTTGACCCCCGTGAACCTTTGTGTTGGAATAAAGTTTAACATTGTACTACATGATCCCATCTGACTTACTTACTTACTTATTAAGTTTATTTGACTTCCGACGGTATTTCAGAATGGCTTTCCTGTTGACATTGGCCTTGATTTTCAACGATAAGTTCCCCCCTGTGATCTCATTGTCCGATCTGCGCACCAGAGAGTCCCTAAACCGTTTGCGCAAGCTCTTGTTAAAGTAGCCGTAAAGCAGCGGGTTCACACAGCTGTTGGAGAAGGCGAGCCAGTGTGCGAAGGGGTAGACGTAGTCGTGGAGTGTGAGTTTCTCTTGGGGAGTCAGCCCGCCGAAGTCTTCCACCATCCAGCAGGTGTAGAGTGGGATCCACGACAGCGTGAACAGCACAATGACGATCACCAACATCTTGGTGACCTATTAGAAAAAAAAAACTTAACACTCACTTTCTGAAACTTAACATAGATATCAATAATACAGCTAGCTGCACATCTGCACTCTTTAGATATAATTTCTTATGCTAGCCTGGCAAAATATGCCATGTGTCTATCTCAGATACAAAGCCAGTCTTGAGTCATTACGAAAACACGCTGTATTACATCTGTTTATAACTCTGAAAAAAGAAGTGTAACATACAATCTGAGACTACAAAATCCTGCAAAACAACGTTGATTCTACTGCGGTACGCTAGTAGCTACTCATATGTATATACACATTACTAGATAGCCTTATGCCAACATGTATTATTGAACAAGAATGTTAAGTTAGGCCATGTTGATTTGATTATATGGATGACATCCGCGCGCGCATGAATTTTCGGCCGTTTCCAAAAAAAAAAAAAAGTTTTCAACCATACTGTAAATTGTACAAAACAGTTGCAAAATGAGCAAAAATATACCATAAGTTCCAAAAAAATTAATAAAAACTATACCAATGTCGTAGAATGCCAAAATCAAACGAAAAAAGACGAAATTGTAAAGAAATGAACTTGAAGACTAGATTATTCGCCAAACCATATTCTGTGCCATTTGCTCAACCCTCATGTCCACGTAGATTTCATAATGAAAAGAACTTTTTTTTTTGCAAAACTTTTTTTTTATTCGCACGCGCGCATCAGTTTTTGGGCTCCCGGAGGATGTCATCCATATAATCAAATCAACATGGCCTTAAAAGAAACTTTTTAATCTACTATGTACTAGTTGTGACCAGTTTATATGTACTAGCCATGACCAGTTAATATCTTCTTGTCATGATTCATGAAATAAAATCAGTGAGGCCTAAACTTGGGGAAAAAAGAATGTTGGTGACCTTGTTGAATCGCTGGGAGGCGTGCATGGTGTTGTTGGTGCCCCTCCGCCTGCGAAGCGTGATGGCGACCATCAGATACAGACACGCAGAGATGACGAGCGGCCCCAGGTAGCAGCAGGCCAGCAGAGCGGCGCTGTAGGCTTGCTGCTGGGTGTAGGAAGGCCAGAACTCCTGGCACACTTTGATGTCGCCCCCAGGGGCTGGCAGCATGTTGTGGATGATTTCCGCTCGCACCACAGCCTGTGGGACCATGATGGAAATGGCGGACACCCACACTCCGGACAGGATACAGGACCAGTACTTCACAGGAGCCTTGTTTTTACTGGGATGAATAACCAGTCTGTACCTAGTGATAGAACAGGAAAGGCAATGAAGCATTTACCGATAAGTAGACAATGGCACAGTTATTACTACTCTAGTGGTCATGGTCTTTATTTTGTTCACCTTCGCAGAAGGAAGACATACTGTTTTTGCTGTTTTCTCTTCTTTTTCCTTTTCTTATTCTCCTAACAAGTAAGATCAATGACCTAGACCAGACGTCTGTCACCATGGTAACTGCTGCTGTGGCAGACACCCTGTGGTGTTGGGTTACATTATGTAGCAGGACAGAGTTCCAGAGGCTGCTCCCCATACATAATATTATGAATGAATTTGACTTTGATTTTGAATACTGTAATAATAAGAATAAACGGAGCAGTGGTTTGTTGGGCTATACTAGGTGAATGTAAACATTATGCATTTGCGTAGCAAATGTTACCTTTCTACTTCAGCTATTTCACCTTTTAGATACTATACGTGCTAGCTTGGTTACCGGTTGCAAAAGCAGACAAAATATCTGTTCCCAATATACAGCCACAAAACTTCTACATTTTACTGGTTGATGCACTTGCCTCTATACCTGGTGAATGTCTGATGAGGGAATACTTTTACTCACTCGAGACATTTATGTTCTGGCCCGATGGTTCGGCAGAAAGCCGGGGTTATCTTTCTGACCCAGGGGCCCGGTACGGTCGTGCCATGAAGGTCAAAAGCACGCCTTGCCATATTCATGACATTAAGTCAAGTTCAATGGAGCGTCCATGACATTTGCAACCCTGGGGAGGTCTCCTGGCTTTACGACTAGCTCAGGTCTGAAACATTTTGTCCGTTATTTGTGCACTGGAAATCCCGTCGCGACGTTTTAACTCCCGGCTGCACAGTCCGGGCCATTAACTCCGACTCGTCTTTCACAGCACTTAAGTCACGGACCTTTAAGTTAACGCACCTGGCATTTTCACTAAGTCTTTTACATGCTAAGGTAAATCCAAAAGTCATGTCTGTGTGTGTACGGACTTGTTGAATGTAGTGATGCTGGAGTCCATGTCTTGGTGCGGGGCTGGTGTCTTGGTTTTCACTTTTTATCCCAACACAGTTCATGTTGACCTGCTTTAGGCCATTTTGTTGCAATTATATGGATCTCATTTTCTGGGAACCCCGAAACTGATGCTAGTGTGAAAATAAAAAATAGTTGCCCTCATTATGTAATCTACGTATTTACAGCCTGGTCGAAAACCTTTTTTGGGGGTAGGACGAAAAAAGCACGCGCGGATGTTAGCCATGTAATCACATCAACATGGTCTAAGGCCAGAGGCAAAGCCTGACAGTTTCTCCTGATGTGACATTGATAACTTAAGTCTTTACGATAGAACCTTGTGTCCAGAGAGGGTGCAATAAACCATTGGAAGATACAAATGTGGATTATCATTACACAACCAGATTCAGACACTTCATGGTCACTGTTAATATATTCGTACAGATAGGACGATAGCTATGATAACTTATCTTGAAAGCCCATCTGTGTTGGTAGAAGTCATTATGAAGCAAGTTTAAACGGATTTGACAAGGAATGACAAAGACTGTAGTCATACAGTTGAAAATCTGGGTAAGTCCAATCCTTTGTGTTGGTAACTACAGTTTAAACATGCTTCATCAAACAACTTGAAGTAATTTTGGTTCTGTCCAAGCCCTTGACTAGCCTTGAATTGTACCACGCCTAAGTAACTTCCACCGTCACAGCCACTTTATTACCTCCGGGGGAGGAGACATCCTTCCGCGGAAGGGTTTTGTGAGAGATTTAGATTTTCATGTTCGCAGCTGTTTCTCGCGTTTGGGTGGACAGATTCTTTTGAGACTCGGTATATGTTTTGCTATTGGGCTGCAGATGATGCACGTCTTTTTGTTTCTATTGTATATGTGTTGTCGGGCGTGAAAATGGTGCCTTTTGGTGGCCCCCAAACCCTCCTTTGAGCGTGAAAGTAGTCGCGACCGTTGACCTTTGGCGTGTTTAAGCTATCCTCGGTCTGGTCCACGTATATAACCCCTCACACAGAGGGGTGTCCGGTCTCGACAAATACTTTGTTTAAAACCCTATATGAAATATACAATAAAAAGCCCGGAGGTATAAAATCTCAGATTTTACTTGTTCATCCTTAAAGTAACAGTATTTCAGCTCACCTGTCGTAGGCAATCGCCATCAGTGTGAAGACAGACGCTCCAACCGCAACTCCCTGAGCCAGCGGAATGAACTTACAGGCGAATGGTCCCAAAGATAGCACTGTGAAGGAAAAGGAATGGACCGTGACCAAGGTGCAGACGGACTTATAGTTTCCGCTTCCCCAGTCGCCATTTCCCCCAAGTCTGTATTATGTTACGGTGGACAGGAAATGGCCCGTATTACAACGTGGAATGACACCTGGATCTAGATAGTCTACATAAGGTATGTGACGTTACTTTGGTTTTGATAGGGGAAAGTAACTTTTCTTCACAAACACACACGGTGGAATGGTACTAGCTGATCCATTCAGACAGGGATTTTGTGTGGGGTTGTAATGGTTGGGTGTTTGGGTTAGAACTCGTCGGTCATGGGTTCGAATCCATCAACATGCCCTGGTGTTGTGCCACTGGGAGAGGTTACTTTACACAACATTCCTCACTTCACAGAAATGAAAATCATAGTATTGGATAGAGACGTCCATAGAACAGGTAGTTAAATGGACGTTAGAGCCAAGCCAAGAAGAAGAGAACCCACTACACCTTTCCAAAAAGAGTAGCAACTAAACAGCTGAACATCAAATAATTTAATCTTTTTTACACTATACCAACACAAAGATGCTGTTGAAACTCCGAATCATGGAGTTTTATCATATAAAAATCTTAAATCATGAAGTTTTATCATATAAAAATCTAACGCGGCTCAGAACTAATGCATGCCATTTACACGACGAAAACCGGTTCAAGGTGATCTAAGTTCTACATGTACAAGTAGATAGTGAGATGTCATAATTTCACGACGTTTTGAAAGACAGGGGCAACTTTTTATCAGATTGACTTGACGTAAATCATACGTCTGATCTTTATTTGCAAAACCATGCCCGAATTCGAAGGCCAATTGTTTATACAATGTCAACGAAAGTAAAGTAAAGCAATGGAACATATACAACTACTTATACTACTACTATTACGTTTGCTATTATTGGGTTTGACTTCTTCTTTGAAGGCAGTGGATAATGAATTGTCCAACTTTCTGCATTGTGAGAGGGTTTTGTGATCTTCTATGGTAGAAGGATGGGGGAATTGTGGCGACTGTTTGAAAAAAAATCTGTCTCTGTCGGTCTCACATTGAGGACTCTGGCTAATAAAATGTGTTTAATTTTCCTTTGTATTCATTGCGTAGTGCTTTCATAATCACTCGTGTACAGGTAGTTTTTATAGAGGTTTATTTATATCCCTAGTGGGTGCCTGCTTATTCTTAAAGCCATCCAATGCGATTTCAAGGAAGCAAAATTGGAATTATTCTAAAGAAGGCAGTCTTTGTGATATTGACACATACTGCTTCAAATTAGCACATTTGTGTCAGTATTTCAAACTTTGGGCTTTTAAAACTGTAGAAACAAGCCCCAAGATGAGTCCTTTATTTTGTGGGTGGTACCCTACAAATCAGCACAGGGCCCTTCCAGTAACCATTTTCCGTCAAATTCGTGGCATTTTCGCTCCGTGAATGTCGATATACATTGGGACAGTGTTGTTTCAACTTAGTATGTAGATAAATGACTAGAATATTGACTTTGAAAAAAACGGTTTTTAAGCCCTAAAAACTGCAGTGGATGCCTTTATTAACTTACACGAATCTAATGAAAAAAAGGAAATAGAGTAGACTTTTCTGCGTCAACATGGACTTGATGCCATTACCTGATACAGCAGCGGCACCTAAAATCTATTCACTCAATCTTACAGGTGCTTTATAAAGAAACGCAATGAGGCTAAATTAAGCCACATTGGCGTGTTCTGTGCCTATGCATACCGGCATTTAAGGCGTCGAGATTCCGTGGTCGATTCGACTTCTATCGTGCCTTTTAACGTCCTATGCGTACTGCAGATAAGCTGTGCAACGTCAACGGAAACCGCCTCAGGGCAGGCCTTAAAACACCATTACAGGTGATGGATTGAAAGGCTTTCTACACCTTCTAAATGCAATTAGTTGATTAGAACGTTACGCCATTACTGAACCTTACAAAGGTTTTAATTAAAGGCATCCCATGCAATTCCAGGTCGGCAAAACTAACGAAAAACATATTCTGCGCACGGAAATCTGTCTGTCTGACATCAACATTTCCTGCCATTTCTTTGCCCATTTTCGTCATCATTTAATACTTGCACCTTTTGGAATAGCCCCCCCCCCAAACAAAAAGCTACGCGTCTTTTATGGATACCGTCCATAAATAGCTACAACCATCCTACAATACAAACGAAGCAACTATTTCATCGGCGATATCGTATTTTTGCCTCACAGGCATCAGTATGCTGTGGGGTAGGGTTGATCCAACGTACTACATTAAAAGAATGACAAAATATTGACTTTGAAAACACAGTTAACTGAAATTGCATCGGGTGACTTTACGTACTTGTGTCCTTGCCTTCTGACAACGCAAGACTATATTCAGCTTGGTTATACGTAATACTGCCCATTCCACTTCATAGAAACCAGTAGATGTGGCATTTCCATACGTCACTAGTGTTAAATCTTCGGCCTTTTGGCTAAGATCAAATGCAGTGTAGGTTAATCACTCCCTAGGGTCAGTAGCGTGGCTAATTGTGGAGGAAGCAGCTCGTCCATCAACCATCGATGTACACATCCGCCAGCCGTCCGCTCTAACCAAGGTTCCCCCATACCAAATTTCTGTTCATTTGGTCTTTATATTAGAGCGCAGGAGCCAAAAATGTACATTTTTGGTCAACAATAGCAAAAAGTCCAATTTTTACAATTTTTAAGTATTATATGATAAGTGTGATTCATGTTCTGTAATCATGTGTCCAAGACACTCCCACACCAAATTTCTAGTCATTTGGTCTTAATATCCGGGCGCAGGAGCAGGAGTCTAAAAAAATATCGAAAAAGGCCTATTTTGCACAATTTCAAGTAGTGTATGTCAAAAGCGTAAATAGTGTTCTGTGGGCATGAGTCCAAGGTATCCCCATAGCAAATTTCAGGTCATTTGGATTTAATACCAGGGCTCCAGATCCAAGACTATCTTGGTTATACGTAATACAGCCCATTCCACTTCATAGAAACCAGTGGATGTGGCATTTCCATACGTCACCAGTTTTAATCGTACATTTTTTGCCAACAATAGCAAAAAGGCCAATTTTTACAATTTTTCAAGTATGATAAAAGTGTGATTCAAAAGTTTGATTCAAATTTCTAGTCATTTGGTCTTAATATCCGGGCGCAGGAGCCAAAAATGTACATTTTTGTCTAAAAGAAATAGCGAAAAGGGCCTATTTTGCACAATTTTCAGTAAATAGTTTTCTGTGGGCATGTGTCCAGAGTATCCCCATAACAAATTTCAGGTCCTTTGGATTTAATACCAGGGTTCCAGATCCAAGACTATCTTGGTTATACGTAATACTGCCCATTCCACTTCATAGAAACCAGTAGATGTGGCATTTCCATACGTCACTAGTGTTAATCACTCCCTAGGGTCAATAGCGTGGATAATTGTGCATGAAGCAGCTCGTCCATCAACCACCGATGTACACATCCGCCAGCCGTCCGCTCTAACAGGATTCTAACACTTCACGGCACTCCCGGTGGATCTTGGCGGCCAGGGGATTTTGCTGTCTGAAGCTTATTCATGAAAGTAAAAACCATACCCCTGCGAGACGTACGATGTTTCAGAAGGGTGTCTTCTGACTTCTCATATTTCTGACTCATGTATGTACCAGCTGAATATATATACGACACGTGAAAGTCAGACTCATATGTTTAAAAGTATCCAATGTAATATCGAAGTTCAGGGCGGCAAAATAAAACATATTCTGGATCACGAAATCTGTCTGATATTGACATTTACTGCCATTTAGTAGCATATGTTCGTAATCATTTCATACTTAAAGCGTTTGTAATAGCTTAAAAGGAAGGTCTCCTTATTTCTGGGAAACAGCCTGCGATACAAAACAAGCAACTGCGTTCTTTCAGTGACAAGGCATTTTTGTCGCACAGATAGGAGGACTGATTCAACTTACTACAAAAAAGAATGACTAGAACATTGACTTCGAAGATCCAGTCTTGCCACCATAAATTGCATTGGATGCCTTTAATTTGCATTCTGTCGGCATATGTACAATGTATATTCATGTGGTTTCATCCTCAAAGAATTCATGATTTTAGGATCTCATAATGGCTGTATCTCCTATGTCGTTCAAGCCCATCTATATCTGTGATTCCATGGTACCCTGTCAATCTGTCACTCATTCTCGACCTTCCCTCAATATTGTCCCCAAGGAGACCAATGTCGGCTGAAGTTCGGGAGCAGTTTAATCAGATTTATGTCACGCCTATCCTTCTATACGAACTGAAACGAATTTGAGTTAAATTTGACCCTCGAACACTGCTGATTTACTCCCGATTGGTTAACTTCTGTTCTTCTGACTTATTCTGCCGAATACCAGCCAACCATGTCCTATACCAAGGTCAACTTGTTCTGTTACTTCTGTATTATTTGACTTTCCATGTCTCTTTGATTTGATTATTTATATTTCTTTCCATTGAGATGCAAACTCCACTATTAGTTACTTTTAAGTTGACATACCTTTTGATTATCTACCATTATGATTTGATATCTGAACGATTATTATTACTTCTATGTTACCTTATTTCATTTGATTGTTGATGAGTTGTTCACGATAAGTTTATCTATTTTATAGTTGACCTTTGTTAGTTTAATCTTTAATCCTTTGTTATAATTGTAATGTCATGTAGTTTTGTTGGGGTTATCCCCCCCAGGAATCTTTGAAAACCGACAATAGGCGACATGTATATCCTGGCTAAATGAACAAACAAACAAACAAACAAACAAACAAACAAAACTCCCAACCAAGCACATAAAGTTTGGAACATTCCCCCCGAATAGTAGCCAACCTCGACCTTACTCCGACCTACTCCTCTTCAGGAGGATATCTCGGAAGTCATAAAAAGGCCATGTCGACGTTTCCAGAGAACGTTGTTCCCTGCTTATTTACCCATCTGACGTAGAGAATCCCCTTCTGTGCTTAGTTTGCCTTACAAAGGCTTGCCCTAAGTGCTAATTGTTTGCACAACTCTCCCCACACTGGTTAAAAATAATATCGATTCAAGTGCTTGCTCAGGAGAGTGTGAACTAAAGTGCGTAGGCACAGTCTGTCGCGAACACCAACCGACCAAATCTGGTCATATGTTTCAGAGCTTTACTTGCCAACCGGTTAAGAAAAAAAGTTACGTAAATTGACTACAGTAAGAAATTAATCATGTATTATCAGTGATTAAAATATATATCAGTTTTCATGACAAGCTGTTCATGACATAACAAATGTAATTTAGATATGTGACTGTAATAAGAAATATTTAAATGAAAGATGTCTTAAACAAAGACTGGATCTGCACGATATTTGATGGGAGTGTAGCATTTGTGGAAACGAAGGTCAAGTTCAAAAATGGTTCACCTGTCGTGTTCCTTCATGTTTATGTTTTTGTGTTTGTGTACAAAAATATCTAGAGAAACGTGTTTTTATTTGGCTTGAATATGTACTCGTATGTAAGTACTTTAAGAAATTGTCTCCTTGTAATCTTTAAGATCCATTCAGAGCTTCTCGAATTACGCTGTATACAAACAAAACATTCATAAAAAGCTGAAGTACCGTTGAAAAACACCATGTAAAAAGCATTTTCTAACTATATACCAAATATAATGATGATCCAAACACAGCTTCATGGGTTATGCTGTTTGCATACATACAGACACACACCACATCCACTCCAGCAGCGAAAACATACCCTTCTAGCAAAGGCAATCATGCTTCAGAACATGTGTCTCTACCGTTGATCTTTGTAACGTGTTCAACTGCAGATCCCCTTCCGTTCTGACCTATGAAGACAATCTGTTATGATATTGATTTAAAAGCAAATCATCGGATATGCCTCCTTTTTCCACCTGCTCCCACGGTAGGAGGCCGATTCCGCGGTTTGTTTGAGAAATGTCACACTCCCTTCGGAGCCCTTTACGTTGAGTTGTTTGCACATAACATTACCCAACTACTGCCCCGTGCTACGTAAATAAAAGGATAAGTCAAGCATACGTGAGCACCATCACAGTCGACCTACAGGTTTCTCTGATTACAGAATCGGGCCCTAATCTTTCCACCACACCTCACATTGATTTGACAATACATGGATCGACTGAATCCAAACCTGTCACAAGAAATACTAGTAATTACTTTCTGTCTGGTTTAGGAACTAATTCAGAAACAATTTAATGAAAACCGAGACATATTCATTTCAGGGCGGTCCTGTGCACCAACAACGAAATACTATGAGCAGGTAAATTGCACAATGAAAAGTAAACTATTTTGCGAAAGGAGTGAAAGAATCCATCTACATCGGGGCACACCAACCCTCTCTCATCCGGGACGGGGGGCGTTACCGACGTCCCACGAACTTTGACCCAGCGCTGACGTCACATGCGGGAAAATTACTTGTCTCCAGCGATTCATCTCATTTGAGTACAAGTCTCATTATGTAAAGAAATAGACTTCCTTCAACAATACCATGAATAAAAAAAATATCCTCCCTCTGAAACTCGACTGCCTTCAGAGTATGAATGTTCCTGACAACCGCACACGTGGTTGCTTAGCGTGGTATTTCCAAACATAACAGCTTCTCTCATTTGCGTGCAATCTGAAGATTGAAACAAGTGCCTTTCTGCTACACTAATGAGTTTGCCAATTATGTACCTTGCCAATTATGTCACCACGTACACGTAACTAGGCGCAGTGCACGTGCTTGAGTTATCATCCTCCGAAAAGTTTTTAACAAACCCTCCTGGACAAGCTGTTAATGGGTTCACGTTCTTAGCACAAGAGCTATCTACCGCCCAGAATATTCCTCTCAAAGCTGCCAATTGTGTACCAACAAAGATGACAGGCATCTTTCATTTCTTCTAACAACTCCGAGAATAAAACACATTATCGTCCCTCTGAATCACGACTGAGTTACGTTCAGAGGCTGAATGTCCCTTACAACTGCACATGAGGTTGCTTGGCGTGGCATTTCCAAACATAGCAGGTTCACTCATTTGCAATCTGAAGATTGAAGCAAGTGCCTTTCTGCTACCCTAATGCGTTGCCAATTAGGTAGCTTGGTGCGTCAGCAACGTACCTCAGCACAGCGCAAGTTTACATACTTTACATTGGGACACTTGAGGACAGATTTAAGCCCTTGTCACATATTCACGAATCGAAACGAGTTTGAGTTACAATCTGAGCACGCCACGAACACTGCTACTCATGAATGGTTGAATGGTGTTCCCTTAACTTACAGACGAACACCTTCCAACTTTGATCGAACCTCCCGATCGACCCACGAATGTTTTAAACATGTCGAAACATCCGGCTGGCGCAGCAGTATATTTCAGCCGAGTGAATTCACCGTACACCGACGGACGTCAATTTGCGCCGACCTACTCCTAAGCATGTTTGGGGGGGGGGGCGTTTGGCTAGTGCTCCGGGGGCTACATTCGTGAATGTGTGACAGGAGCTTTACAGATAACCATTCACCAATGTTACAGTGATACCTACTGCACTGTCATATATATCGCGTAGTACTAGTACTACCCGGTGGCGTTTACGCTGCCATTTTCGTGTGAACAGTTGAATAGAAGCAGGTCCTGGGAGGAAATATGAGGAAATTGTATCTGACGGAACTCTTTCATACAGTCAGGAACCCTTCCATAGATCTCTAGCAAAACACTTATGAATATAATATTGTGATTGTTGAACCTACTATTAGGTCCCTCGAATGGAATAACTAACTCACCTTCAGAAGGTGACATTTTGAAGTGGCTGATAGAAAACGACATGGATGATTACATTGTAAACCAATGCTGTACTTAACAGGAAATCGTCACATCATACTGAAAGTTACCCTCGAGTCCAATTTGATGCTAATGTGATCACTGTAGATCACTGAAATGAATCATGACATATCAGGCAGGTGTCCCGGGGGGCATTTAAACTATGGTTTAAATATAACTTACGTAATACGTTGATGAATGATAGACATCCAGGTAAACAATATTCAAAGACATATCACCATATGTGAAGGAACTGGAAAAAACAATTGAACATGACAAAGACTCCTAAGTGTCACTGTTATGTAAATGAGTCAAGGTAGTTCCTGTGGTAAGATAATACCACAGTCAACTTGTTAACGTAATTTATCCTGTAGTACACTTTGATTTATCTTTGAACTTAGATATAAGTGTTTTTCTGAAGAATTGGACCAAATGTTTTCTTCTACGTATATTCAACCGATCGAATTTATTCCCGTTCGAAGTTGTTTTCTTACTCCAATGTTAGACATTTTATGGCCTGTACAAATTCATTCATTTATCTATAACATAGCTAGCGCTGTTAAGTGTTTTTTTTCATATTCCAACATTTAATGACAAGACATAGTGACGGGCCACTCAAGTTTTCAACTTATTTTATGCCACCACCAACATAGAGGACAATACAAAAGCCGTGTTAAGTGCTTTGCCCGAGGGCAAAAGATTGGTGGTGTATCAGGATTTGACTGGGACCGCTTGGTTCTGAGCCGAGCAATTTGTCGTTACGCCACACGACCCAACAACATGTTATGTATTTTGTATCATTCTGTTCAGTGAGTTGTGATGGCAATGCCACAAGGTACAAAAATGGTAATGTTACACAAGCAGCAGACTTACCTGAGAGTACATGGCTGTACACATTCATTCATTGATCTATTCATATCATAGCTGTTTTGTGTCTTGTAGGTTATGTTCTGTGCGAACTGGCGACAGACAGTGGAAAGAGACCTTCAGGCAGTCAGCATGAGATGGAAGGAAGCCTTGAGGCTGGCTGCTGACAGAGGAAGCTGGGCTACTTTGACTGCCTCATGCGTCACGAGACGCGGGAGCCCCTAAGTCTAAGTCTAAATAAGGTTATGTTATGTTAAGTGAGCTGCGAAGGCAATGCCACAAAGTGCAAAAACGATATAAAGTTACACAAGCAGCAGGCTTACCTGGGAATACGTGTTTGACGAATGTGAACGGTATACAGAAGATGCCCACAAGAAGGTCGCAGACGGCCAGGTTGAAGATGAAGTAGTCGGTGGCACTACTGGTCCTCTTACTCTTCACAATCATCACACACACGATCATGTTCCCAACCAAACACACCAGGAAGATGATGGAGTAGGCAAACCCCATCAGTAGTACTGTCCACAAAGGTCTCATCATCTCCTTCTGTAGCAGTTTTCTCAGATCAAGTAGTGAGGAAGTATTGGTTTCAGTTGACTGGAGGAAGAGGTCCATGCTTGTATTGTTTATGTCCATTGTATATAGATACTGATGTATCACAGCCTTTAGATGTCCACACCTCTCTTATGTGTACGTCTTCCTTGTAGATGCTGGCTCACCAAAGCTCTTAGCCTTCTAAACTGCTCTTGTATCTTGCTTGTCCTTGTAGTAGCTTCAGGCACGGTGCTGGAAATAATAAGATGGTTGTCGTTGTTAATATTATGAATTTTCAATATCCTTTGAGCATTGTACGAACATTGTAGCATGCGCAGTCTGTTGAACACATAATTGGACATAGTAATTCTTTCCCCATTATACATGTACCAAGGACAATCTACACGAACATGTGCGTCGTCTTCAACTCTACCTTAAGTGCAAAATTGGCAGCTTCTTTGCTCTATAGGAGTTTTAATGAGGCCTCATTAGCCGTATCACCATTGGTCTCTACACGTGAGCACCAAACTACAGTGTAAACATGAAACCCATCTGACAGACCTGGCGGGTGTTCGAGGTCTGCTATCTTCCTTAGCATAATTACTTCAGCCAGTAGACTTTCATCTACTCCCAGCGCAGACTGCAGGTTGCAAAAGGTCGCGGCGTAGATTTTTAATGGCCAATTTTCCCCCGTTACAGAACTTTCCATTAAATCTGAAGTATGCTACACAGTATACTGCTCCACCTGGTTCTCCAAACACGCGTGTTGCTCATGTTTCTGAGAAGATGTCAAATTAAGCTTTTGTTCAGGAACGTATTACTCAACTAACTAGTGACATTTATACCCCGTCTGTTTCGTTGGTAACTTTCAGAATGCCTAATCTATTTAATAATATCAGTGGGGAATGGATTGCCGCAGTTATGAAAGTTCGGGTTATGAAAGATAGCGCGCAGCGTTCTGACTTTGCCGTTTTAAGCACGGATTTTAGCTCTTTTATTTTGTGTTGACTTTGATACGCAAGAAGTCCCACTCCTTTGTTATTTCATATATCCTAAGTAGTAATTGATCTGGTCCTTCTTCAATAAACCAGATGGGCCCTGTGTAAGAGTAAAATCTTTTGAAGACAAAACGTTTGAACTTAACAGTCTCTAGCCGAAGCGCACACGAGACGGACAGCAGAGAGTCTACGGGACGGCCGTTCGAAGCTCTTGGACAAAGCTCTACTCGCCAAATGAAGCGGAACGAATGTTGCGATCGCAAGGCGGTGGAACTACAGAGGTACGCAGATGCCCACAGCGTAACAGCTGTGGTATTTTGCTCAGAACCAGGTGTCCCAGATTCGTATCCTGCCATATTCGAACCTGCCATGTCACCCATCTTGTGCCCTTTCTTGGGAAATGCACTTTACCCAACTTTCTTACTTGACTTAGGTGAAAATAAGTACCTACGTTCGGTTCGGGACATTCCTCGTTACGTTTAAGGGGATTTAGGGAGAGCCACACCCCACTCGCGAAAGAACCCACCATAATTATCTAAAACAGAAGGGTGAGAGTCCCGATGAGAGTCGTCCAAACCTTATAGTTTTATAGCTGCACCTCGTATTGAGGTCACCTGAGTTAGCGCCGAATGACAGCCGCTCCAGACTCTTGCCATTCAGTCCCACCAATTATGAGCTCCTCACAATTCAGTCCCAAGTAGAGAGTAGCAGGCCCACTCAATAATAAATAACTACCAGGGAGTTTCAAGAACATCATATTGTGCGTGTGAACGGTTATAGTTGGCGGATCTTGATCATGAGCATTTTCTGTTATTACTTTGAAGATGTTAGCTATATATACTAAATTGGTGCGTATGAAAGATAGTTCCGAAAGTATAGCTCCGTTGTTCAAGGCGTCTATATAAATGAGCTTATTGAGAAAAAGAAAATTAGTCTGCAATTTTAGCGGCAACAGGTGTCGTGTTTAATGGCACTATTTGATCCACTCTGATAGAAAATTGGTCTCGCCGACTGAGCTGCCTTTCCAATCAATTTAATTCGCTCTATCGGATGAACCGTTTTTGGCGTTTCAATCCTTCAGTCTTTATTCCTTCGAATCATCGTAGAATGAATACGCATGTACATTATATGGAGTTCTGATAGTATCTACACACACTGGTTACACACGTAGCTTGTTTGGGAGTATTTCAAAACGCTTGAAGGATGTAATGATGACAAAAATGTGCTACGAAATGGCAGTAAATGTCAATATTAGAATACATATTTCTCATCCAGAATATTTTTGTATTGCCACCCGGGAATCGCATTGGACGTCTTTAAAATCCAGTTCTGTAGGTTATCTTGGTTGCCCAGCTGGATTTCCTAGGGTCTGTATCTTACAGGAAAACCGTAATTTCTCCAATGGTTTACAGGTCAGGACCTAGTGCTGTGAGAGACGGCCAGCGGGAACATGATTGTGGAGACACAGCAGGATCTGACATCAGGCTTCAGCAAACTGTGGAAACCCAGTAAAACTATAACTTGTACCATGTATGTTGTAGAACATAGTATAATGTTACGGACGCATATAGTCTTACATACCATTGTATTTTCTTTCTTATGTTTGTTTATTTATTTTATGTTTATTTATTTAACCAGGATATACATGTCGCCTATTGGCGGTTTTCAAAGATTCCTGGGGAAATCTTATGTTGTTTGTAACTGCAATTAGCCCTCGGGCATGTATTTGCAATAAACTTTCTCTATAAAATCTTCACAGCGACTTGCTCTGGGGACAAGTGTCTGTGGCCATGTGATGATTCTTCAGGTTATTTGTTAGAGCCCCTGTCATACATTCACGATTGTGTGACAGGGACTATTTTGATTCGTTTGATTTATTTAATTACATATTAAGACAACTGGCTTGCCCCTACAGCTATTCTTTGCTGATTTCAAAGGCAGGCCAGTGCACGAGAAAACGATATCTGTATCTGTATCTGTATAGCCGGTATAACCGCCTTTCGGCGTAACACACCAGCTTCGCAGGCACGCGGCGCGGCGGCAGCTGGCTATATTACACCGATCGACTTGTTACACCTAACCCTTGAACTTCTAGCTCTAGACATTGTTTAAAGCTATCTATTGACAATGCCCCTACTGTACTTGGTGACAGTGAGTTCCACTCTGCGATAGTTCTAGGAAAGAATGAATTCTTGAACACCTCAATCCTTGGTTGATAACTCTGGTACTTGAATGCGTGGCTATTTCTTGTTCTCTTCTGGGCTGGTATTAGGTACTTAGTAGTTGGGACATCCACCAGTTTATTAGTCATTTTGTACATCATGCATAGTCTAGACATCTTTCTTCTGTCTTCTAGTGAGGTCCACTGTAGGTTTAACAACATGTTAAAACCAAAGCGGCTTCAGCCAGTCAGACCAATTTCGCGAATGTGTGACAGGGGCTTAAAATATCCGTTTTGCAGTCGGCGCTGCGGCTAATTTGGAATGACAGCAAAGAGATAGCCATCCGCCATGACGTTAATAACATGCGTAATGCACAGACCTCACTACCTTGATATATACTGCCCATATTTATAAGAATTAAGTTTTATTCCTATAACAACGATATGGCTTGGGTAACTCCATATTTCTTGGATGCTGATAAATGTCAGAAACTAGTTCTGATGCGAAGATATCCCCAGACGAATGTCGAAGTCTACTTCGATCTATGAAATTTTCAGCACTGATTTCATTCATGGGGCAAGGCGGGTCAAATGAAAAGAGGATAGTTTGTCCAATTTGTGTCCTAAACTAGGTTAAAGAGATGATTACTGGTGAACAATCCTGACTGAAGAAGACGAGGAATAGCCAGTATTGTGCGGAACCTTTGATCTTCAACCACCATGATCGATATTAAAGCTTTGGCTGTATGTTGCTTGGTTAAAGGTGCTCGATGCAGTTTTAGGACTTTTAAACCTGAGAGTTTCGAAAGTCGATATTCTAGTCACTTATTTACAAGCTAAGTTGGTGCGATACTATCTCAACCTATATCGACAATCATGGAGCAAAAATGCAGAAAATTGTGACGGAAAAACGTTACTGGTAGGATCCTGGGTTAATTTTTTTGGGTACCATCAAGAAAATAAAGGGCTCCTCTTGGTGCTTGATTCTGTGCTTTTTTAAATGCCAAAAGTATAAAATACTGATGAAAATGTGCTAATGTGGGAAGTATGTGTCAATATCAAATATCATACAAATTGCCCTTTTTCAGAAAATATCCACACTTGCCGCCCTAAAATTACATCAGATGCCTTTTAATGCATAATGAAAAGAGCCGGAGTCCTCCAAATGATGAAATGCCCTTATTTATAATTATAAGACATCCTGACTGGAGTATTAGTTTCTAATTCCACCGGCCGGCCTGGCGACAACCGTTGTTTTGCCTTTGACAAACTGCTCAATTTTGCTACTCATCAGGGCCTGTCACCCGGGATTTCTTTCATTTTACTGCCTTTAAAGTAGCGGTAAATCAGTCTTAACCTTTCAATACAGCACATACAGAAAATAGCGTCTTCAAGGCCGGTACTGAGTTAGGAGAAGCCCAGAATCCATCCTTCTCGAGCTCTGACTCCAGTGTTCTTCTCTGATTGCAGGACATCGATCAGAATTTAACCCTCCCGATTTTTTTCCAAGTCTACAGCTGGACTTAAAGACATCCAATGCAATATCTGGGTGGCAAAACAAAAGTAAACATTCTGGATGAGAAAAAAATATGAATATTGCCATTTCTTAGCAGATTGCTGCATTTCAGACTTGAAGCGTATAAAATAGCCCCACAACAAGCTAAGTGATGCACTCTTTATATTTTTTGGTACCACCCATAAATAACTAGAACCAGTGTACGATACGAAACAAGCAACCGTTTCCGTCAGTGACATCGCATTTTGCCTCGTTTTCTTTCAGTGACATCGTGTTTTTTTTTTGCATCACTGAAACCAGTATCCTATGGGGTAGGTTTGATTAAACTTATAATATATACCACAATGTAAAAAAAAGAATGTCCAAAAACTTGACTTTGAAAATCCAGTTTTGCTGCCCAGGAATTACATTGGATGCCTTTTAAAGACTACAAGGCGACAGCACTGACCATCTCCAAAAACACATGCTCAAAACTACCTCCCAGTCATGTATTACCGTTTGAAGAAGGTTGAAATGCCATGGTGTATGATGTACTCCCTGACTACAAGCTAGCTATATGTAGCTCCCACAGACCATGAGCTCCCACGGATCACCAAGTGTCGCTACATTCCGCATTTTCTGTAGGGTGAAACATACTTACACTTACTGTACTTAAATCTACAAGCAGAGGGTAATTGGAAAGATTCTGATCTTCTTCTATGTACCGTTTTTTGGTACCCGACCTAATCAACCTACAGAATGAACAGTGTCCTGTTGAATACTGACTTGCCGGTTGGTTACGACTTTTACACCGAAATGATGTGTATGCAGATTAGCTGCAGTCCCCTTCTCAGGTCTTCTATCTCCACTAAAAGCATTCAGAAATCAGTCAACGCGATTTGTCCGTCACGCTTTACAACTGCAGTATATATCCAGACGTATTGCGTTAGTGTGCGAGGCTGGAGACGGGTAAAACGGCAAATATATCTTAGGGCATGTTGACTTGATTATATGGATGGCATCCACGCACGCAAGAATTTTACCCATTTCCTAAAAAAAGCTGCAATAGAGCAACTATATGCCGTAAATTGCAAAAACGGAACATACCATACATTATACCAGGCACAAGTGTTCGTTAAATAAAGTTTTTCATATCTTGTTTATTGGCGACATATATTGTTGACAAAAATCTATCAGATCACAGACCACTATTTTGAGCTCCCATTTAAATATATGGTAAACAATGGCAAGAAATGAGCTGTCAAAAGTCACCTACTTGAGCGTTCAAACTCACATTTACAGTGTAGCTTGAGCTCCAAATTGTCAATTTAGTCCAAAATTCTTACTTGTCTATCGGCAGAAAGTCATCGTATCAATGATAACAAAGCCAGAATGACCTCTGCCCCCCCCCCGTTCACAACAACAAAAAATATCATGTTGCCCTGCTGACATAGCATCTCTTCTAGAGCTCTACCCAGCAAAGAAAACAAGCGCGAAAGCCTGATTTTGTTTCAGCAAAACACCCCCCCCCAGCTGTTAAATCTGCACATGTACATGTATATAGTGCCAATATAACGGCACTTCGGCCTTGCTGGCATTTACGTGCTCAAATACCAGAAAGTAGCAAGTATGCAAAGAAAAAGGCTGTTTACAGTTGGTTTGGACGCTCTCAAATGGGGCTTCTGGGCCTGCGCGAAATATTGACCTTTTCCCATCAGGCAACTAGATATTGGGTGAAAAGTAGGTTATAGTCTGCCAAGGACGTTTCTATACCTACATTTTCATGATCTTTGGTATAAACGTAACTGTATGTAGAACTGGCATTTTTGCAAGGACTGTACTCAAATGCCATATCCAAATATCATAGTTGAGTGCCGAGGAAAACAACAGAGTTTTTACTACGGAAATGATCATTATACCTCCAGCTGGGATCCAGATCGTGTTACAGAATGTGACACAATTGCGAGGGCCTCAACACAAAGTGCTTCCATGTACACGTAATCCTTGACATTTAGTCTTGTACATGTTTTGGTGATTTCTGTCTATAACACACCGACGTGCCGGATTGAGTGAGGAAATTGCCCTCCGTCTGTCGTTTGACGTGAGCTACATCTGGTGAGAGCTTACCAAACAGGCTTATATAAGTTATAGCAAACATTGCGCCATTTATGGCTCTTGCGTCTACACGTAGCGTCTGGGGTGTCCCTTAAACCAGGATGTATGTAGAATCTGTGATGTGTAAGAGAATATTCTACCATGTGTATAATAAATGCGGTGTATATATAACACAGACGGACCACCTCCTTTAAAGGCTCGTCTCACACATTCACGAATTTGGCCTCCGGAACACTTCCGAACGCCCCACAACCATGGGAGAAGGTCGCCGTAATGTCGGCTGGTGTTCGGCAAATTTGGCTACTTTGCAGCTGGCCAGCGGAATGTTTCCAAATGCACTCAAACTGTCGGAGGTTGATTGGGTCCGGAGATTCGGCCATGATTGGGTATTCAGTTTAAGTCAGTAGAACAGTCCAGTCAACCATTCCGGAGTAAGTCAAATGTGTTCGGAGCGTGTTTGGGGGTCAAATTTGAGTCAAATTCACTCTAATTCGTTCCGATTCGTAAAAAAAGGCAGGTGTGGCCTAGATCTGGTCAGAACGTCAGCCGAACCTGCCCGGCTGGTGTTCGGTAACAAATTCGGGAGAAGGTCGTGAATATGTGACACGGGCTTTCCGGCCACTTGCCGCGTGCTAATCTCCAAGCAGATCTTTTGGTGGCTGAAATGGCAGTATCAACTTAGTCAGGCTAGCTAGCGCTGCATCCATTTCCCCGGCAGTTATACCATTTGCTACCGAGCTGTGAATGCCGCTCTGACTGGCTGGACGTGTCGATAACCCAGCACGGTGAAATGGTTACCCCTAAAGATAATTTGATGGCTCCCGGTGAGGAAAACTCATGCCCGTAGCCAGGATTTTGAATGGAGGGGGGGGGGGGTCTTCCCACTGCTTGAGGGACCAGTGAGCGCCGTAATCCAGCCAGTACGTCTAGTTCAACTCGCAGGTGTTTGTTTGTTTGTTTGTTTGTTTGTTTGTTTATTTGCATATAATCAGAGAGAAAAAAGAACATAAACATAAAAACGTAAAAAGACCATATTACAATAAAATAGGATACGCAGGGGAAAGATAAGAAGCCATAATGGCTTGTCCGTGATCTTCCCCCGACTAAATTGATTGACAACTATAATAATGGTAACAAATCAAATGGTAATAATAAATAACAATAAGTAATTGAAAAAAAAACGATCAATATGATAACGGTAACAAATCAAATTGTAAATAAATAAATAACAATAGTAATTAGTAAATAACGTGTTTGAAGAGTTGCACCAGACCAGAGACCCCCGAGGTTTCTAGGGGGGTCCGAGGGTATGCTCCCTCGGGAAATTTTGAAAAATGAAGCTTCTGAAATGCCATTTCCTGCGTTTTTGAGAGGATTTCAGAGAAAAAAAACAGAGATAACCTTTATTTAATGACGTATTAGGCAGTTTTTCTACGATTCCAGGCCCACTGGTGATCCGAATCAGTCCATCTAAAGAGAAATCTTGGACCTTTAGATAAAAAAAGTGGACCAAAAAGTGGACCTTTGAGCCTTATGGCGGGTTCCTCCTGGCTCGTCACCTGTCTTGAATAGATCGGGCAGAAGTTGGGCTGGTGTTAAAAAAGATACCAGTGCCAAAAAAAAAGAGAGATCCCGATAAAAACGCCCAAACACCCCAAAAGTAAGCCAAAGCTAGTCTCCACCAGACTCCTTTGCAGGCTGAATAATAGTAGAAATTGTTTAAGGGGAACATCATTGGCCAGAGGAGTTGGCCGGCCATAGAGGGTCCAGCTTGCCTGCCTGCAAAGGTGTCTGGTGGAGACTATGCCAAAGCCTAAATCCGTCCTTGGAGAGTAGCCACGCGCCCCTTTGCGATGCCCCGAGCCGCCGTGCGTTTCTTTGCGGTGCCGCGAGCCGCCGTGCGTTTCTTTGCGGTGCCGCGAGCCGCCGTGCGTTTCTTTGCGGTGCCGAGACTTCCGGCGGATCCGCCGACCAAAGTCGGCACTCGACCTGATGGTCGATTGAAACCGAAATTCTTTGTGGCAACAAACACATAAATTCGTTAGTACTGACAGCTTTGTTCCTTTCCCTAGGCCCTTGCCCTGCGCGCATTTGTGGCGCCGACGTTAGATGTAACCGTCCGCATTCGACATGTTTTTATTATTCTTTCATAGTAGAAAAACAACCAACAAAATATGCATAGCACACTTGCCAACAAAAAAAAAAATAGCAAGAGGTATACAAAACCCCTTAACCATCCTGGTTAGTTTACGTCCGCTCCCACAGTCGGACGTAAACTAACCAGGATGGAACCCAGGCTACAAAACCCCATCAAATGAATAACAATCATGATAATTTATCGAAATAAGACTTTTGAATCGTACAAAGAGTGCGGCAGGCTACAGAATGTAACAATAACAAAACAACCAAAGTAACAGGATTGATAATTTTACACCAAAAACAATACAAAGTTTCCCAACTATAACTTCCCTCACTTCCTAATGTTTTATGTGACATGATTTTTAATAGAAATCTCATTTTGTTGAGACTAATTCGACAATTTTGTCGATTTCATGCCTTCAAACCAATTTTTTACTTCTCCTGATTTTTTTTAAAACTGCAAATGTCACGTTAATACCATAATAACTTAAACAATTATGCCATTCTATTTATAACGAAGTGAATGACCGAGAAATGGTTTGGGTTTTCATATGTAAGCTATGCAGATCCCTTACTTACGCGGATGGTCGTGATACACAGAGAAGGTGTGGCTTGTATAACACTTACAGGATTACCAGAAGAGCAGTGACCTATATACAGGAATCTGGAGCTGAGGCAGACTTCGTCATGGCTCTTAAAAGATTAAAATGACGGCGTACTGGTAGGTGTTATCTGCGCATTTAGTGCTGCAAGGACGGAAATTATGTCCCATGCATTTTGATGCATGTTCTCAACTAACAGATTAAAGGGGCATTATCCAACACTTTTGGACCAAAAATTGGAATAATCTAATCGAAAAAAATCGAAGGATTGTACTTCACTACCACTTTTCAACTTATTTGTGCAATTATCTCACATTTCTTAATCTCCAAGCAGATCTTTTGGTGGGGGTAAGACAGTATCAAATTGGCCAGTCTTTAACCACTTGGGTGGGGAAATGGTTACAGACTGGCCAATTTGACCACCAAAAGATCTGCTTGGAGATTAACATTTCTGATATTTTATGGTTGGCACTGAAATAGCGAACACGAGGTGCACTAAGTTTGGGGTGCCACCACAAAATACCAAAATTTAAACAAACATGGTTTGTCGACAGCTGTGCTTCCAGCTTTGTAACACACCCGTAAGGCGTCGTATTTGGCAGCTCTACTTCTTTAATGTTGCTCATTTGCAATGGAGTAGGGTTGGTCAAACTCACTTTGTAAAGAAATGAACAGGAAATTGAGTTTTTGTGTCGCCCTAGTGTTCCATGATGCAGCTTTAAGTCCTCAGGAACAACGAAATTGAGCGGAAACAGAAATGTCCTAAAGAAGATGTAAGGATGGCGATAGGAGAGCTTCCGAAGCATTATTTGTCCAGAATTGGCAGCAAGATGCGCGATACTAAATTTAGAGACTTGTTAACATGTCCGATGCATAGAAGGAGTTTCAACTGCATTCACCGAGAGCCATTCAAAAATATAATGACTTCAAGCTTGCTTTCAAGAGATTTTCTTTGACTTAATAAGAAATATCTTACCATGCGAGATAATTAGGCATGTTCGCCATTATACATTAATTGGTCATCGTAAGATACGTGATACTAAATTTAGAGACTTGTTAACATGTTGCTTGCAGATGCAGCTTCGCCTGCATTCATATCATGCATAGCCGATAAAAATACCATACATAGCCTTTTTTTATGGGATAATAATGACGAATCTTGCTTTCAAAGGATTTTCTGTGATATGATAAGAAACATTGTATCATGCAAGACAAGTATAGCCATGCTTGCAGTTATATTACAGGAAGTTTTTGTAGCCAGTTTAACCTTTATTTCTTTGACATTGACATTGTTGCCCTTAGTATGTCCCTGGTACATTAGGCCATGTTGATTTGATTAATATGGATGGCATCTTCTTGGAACCCCAAAACTGATGCGACCGTGCGAATAAAATAAAAATTGCCTTCATTATGAAATCTACGTGGTCATGAAGGTTGAACAAATGGCTAAACACACAGAGGATGGTATGGAGAATGATAGACTCTTCATTTTTACTTCTTCAAATTTTCTTCTTTTCCTTTCCATTCTACGACATTAGTATCGTTATATTTTTACGACATATATTTTCTCATTTTGCAGCTGCTTTGTACGATTTAAAGCATGGTCGAAAACGTTTTTAGTTGTTGAAACAGACGAAAATCCATGAGCGCGCGTGGATGTTATCCATATAATCTAATCAACATAGCCTTAGCCTTTGAACCAGACGACACGGCCTGGCACAAATTAGATCCACTTCCTGTCGTTATGGACATGCAATTTCCTAACTATGTAATACCCCGTATTAACATCTGACCCCAAACATTAGGCCAGTAATACTCTGGTGTCGTTGCGATTACTAACAATCTGTGGACGTAACAGGTTTGACTCCGTCTCCTACTATTATTTTTAACCTCCTTGGTAAAGGTTTGGTAGCCTCTACCAGGCACCGCGGATCGCTGGAAAAATAGTAGAAATTGGCCGAAATAAAGGGATAGTATACCAGAGAAGATCCAGGGCCATAGAAGCCGTGGGTCGCAAATTGGATCTTCTATGGCCCTGGATCTTCTCTGGTATACAATCCCTTTATTTCGGCCAATTTCTACTATTTTTCCAGCGATCCGCGTTGCCTGGTAGAGGCTAGGTTTGGCCGCAGCTCCTACTAGTAACGTTAACAAATACAACATGTAAATGAATGGGATTTAGATTCTATAGATGTAATAGATTCGACTTTATACTGTAGCTAGTGACGTTAAATATAACGCAGCATGTAAATGACTGGAATTTAGAGTCTATGAAGGTATAATAGATTTGTGGATGACTGGGATTTAGAGTCTATGGAGGTAATATATTTGACCCCGTCTTCTGCTAGTGAAGTTTTAAAAAATGAGACATGTGCATGAATGGAATTTAGAGTCTGTGGACGTAATAGGTTTGCCTCCGTCTCCTACTAGTGACATAAAAAAATGCAACACATAAATGAATGCAATTTAGAGTCTGCGGAGGCAAGGAGCTTTGATTTTTACCCTACTTGGTGTGAAGGTGTGCCTCCGTCTCCTACTACTAACAATCTGTGGAGGTGACAGGTTTGACTCCGGCTCCTACTATTTTTAACTTCCTTCGTGAAGGTTTGGCCGCAGCTCCTATTAGTTACCTTAAAAATTGCAACATGTAAATGAATGGGATTTAGATTATATAGATGTAGTAGGTTTGACTTTATACCATAGCTAGCTTCCTCAGGGCAATTCTGACTGGTTCACATTGTATCGCACATGACCTGCTGCAATAAGACTCTGTCAGTACAAAGACAGAATCCTTTAAAACTAATACTAGTATGATGTGAAATGTACTGTACTCACCTAGCTGTACGACGCAGTAGCTTTCCACACGAGTGTGCTGCCTACCGCAGACGATACTATTTGGGTGAGGCTCAGCTTCTGACGTGGACGGGTGGTTACCTAGGAGACCAAACTCATGCTGTCCAATACCGACCCGCGGGCCATGTTAATGAAATTATGTCGTATTTACGGACATCAAATTATGACTACAAACAAGGCAGCATAGACCGGACCTATGTACATTGTACATAACGCTGTAATGACAAGGTACATACGAGGGAAATCTAGTTTAGCGACTCACGAACGCCAAATTTGGACTGTCCCGGCGTAACCGAGAAAAAAGGTAACGTCAGGCCACAAGGTAATAAGCCAAAAAACAGTTACTCAAGCAACTGGATATGATTTTGAAAACGTCAGACGTTTCAGCTAGTATCCACTAGCTTTCGTCAGTGACTGAGAGACCAGAGGGGAAAGCAGGTTTATATACACAACCTGTTGATTGATATGCAAATAAAGTGAAGACAAATTTTTGGAAGTCGAAAAAGGAACAAAAGTCAGACAAGTCAAGACAAGATGATGCAAATTAGTCTGAAAGCTCCTGTATTACAGGACAGGAGCTTAAGTGTTGTCTGTCCTCGGGGCTGGGAGTGCCAAATCCCAAGTGCCGGAAAGATCGACCCGTAGCCCCCCTTCCCTGTTGAGGGTGGGGTTGTACATTCTTTCATATATTGCCTCTTTAACACCCCGTTCCCACCAGCGTGTTTCGCGGTCTAATACATCCGTGGACTCGATATATGAAATATTACCTGGATGTCTAACCTTCATCGACGCCACAAGGTAATAAAATTCTACCGGACGCATGTGGCGCCTAACACGTCTAACCGCCCAGACGGATATAGTCATATACTACCTTTGCCTATGGTTATTTTCCTTAGCAACGGTTACCATAGGAACATGATGTGGATTTCCAAGGCCCTGAAAAGAAACACTTTTCTGTCGGTAGAAATTTTCTGATGTCAGTCAGACGAGTAATACTCGACGAGTTATGCTGCCTTATTTTTTATATAAGGTATCTGTACATAATTTGCATGAATTTGCATAACGACTTGAGCTCATAACGATGTAAATACAATGTACAATGTACATACGAGGGAAACCTGGTTGAGGGACAGTCACGAAGCCAAACGACAACTTTGGACTGTCCCGGCGTAAGAAAGGTAACGTCAGGCCACAAGGTAATGAAATTCAAGCGGGCAGATGTGGCTGCTATAATCTAATGGATACCCTTTGCATATGATTATTCAGTGCTTTCGTTCTGCCGACGGATGTATCTGTGATCTTTCAACTCTTCAATAGAAACTTTGAACTATTTAGTAACCGAATACTTAGAGAAAACGTAGAAAAAAATCAGCAAGCCACCTCGCCGGGGGCACATTTTACTTAATTGAAGACACAGGTA